CTTATTTATCATCATGTTTAATGTACGCGCGGATATGAATTGTACGAGTGGAGTTTTTGCGGAATTCGATTAGCGAAACAGGTGGGTGTCACTGAGTCTCTCTCTATCTCTCTTTTTCTCTGTCTTTCTTTCTTTCTCACACATCCATGATTTGTTTAAAAGATACGTATGTGTGATTTGTCCGCTCGAATAGTTATCAACGATATGCCGGTGTTGATGACAGAATGATGATAGATATTCAAATTGCATCTATCATAAAAATCTTACAATTTTTGAAATTCTGATTTAGAACATAATTAAGATAAAATTGTAATTAAGAGAATTTAAAATTTATGAAATTTTTTTATATATTTAAAAACATTTTTTGATTTATTGATTTAATATAACATCATAATAAATACATAATATTCACTTATTATCCGCTATTTTTCGGCCAATGCGTTGCGACGTCGTGTCTTATTATAAATGCCACGTTACGTACGTCAATGTTTGTCACGTAGTCATCCACAAGTCCATCTACTAGGTGAATATTTCATAACTAATTCGTTACTCGCATATGAGAAAGACCAAAAAATAACAAGAACCCAGGAAATGCACGGCACATCTCGAAAACAGCCGGCAGAATCCGCATACGAAATGTGCGGTATTTTCTTCTCCGCTTTAGAGAAAAGTTTGCTTTGTTAGCGAGAAGCAGAGCTTTTCCTTGCCAGACTGGACATAAAGTTGGAGGAGATTCAGTTGCCGACCAACCGAGCTAAAATTCTTGACGTTCTTCCATACAAAATTACCGTTTCGGCCGAGGGTTAAGAAAGAAGAGGAAAAAGAAAGAGCTCGCAAGCGCTGTTAAAGTAGCTCAGAAGTCTTTTTTTCAATTTGTTACGTATATCATGTATACGTGTGTGTGTATATCATTTGAGTTTTGCCATTCCACAGAGATCTCGGAAATCATAGAAAATATTCGTTTTATTTTTGAAAAATTTTAAGACTTTAGTTTTAAAATAAGACAATAAAATTTGTTTCTGTATTGTCATTACTTAATAATGCTCGCGTAACGGCACAATTTAATTCATAAATTTTATAGAGAGAATACTAAAATATATAATTTTTTTAAATTTCTAAATAATCATTTGTTTTGTATAGATTGTCCTTATTAAATGATTTGTTTCAGATTTGCAATCGTGGAACTTTATTCATAAAGATTTCAAGATTGCAGTTTAATGATTTTTTTTTTTTATAGAGACGCTACTTTTTTTAACAATTTTTTAAAAATTATGTGAATTTTTACAATAAATCTTGACATTAACTTACACTTCACAGATCCTTTTGAAAATATCTTAAGAGCCAAAAGAGAGCGCCATATTCAAAACGTGTATTATTTAGAAATGCACCTTCTTCGATATATATCAAAAGGTCAAGATTTATCATTTTTTCATGTGTATTTACAGAATACGTCAATGAATCGCAAAGTCAGTACAACACATAGTGTTCTTTGAATGTCGCGCGTTTACTCTTGTAATCGAATTCGCCTTGACACAATGGTACAATGGTTGCGCCAGGGATGCAGCAATTTGCATCTCTGGCGCAATCATTGGAAATATATCCAATCCGATTCTACCGATCAATCGGGAGGAGTTTCTTGACGAATCAACCGGTGGATATAACAATGGGCCAAAGATATCGATCGATAATAATACATTGTCGATCGATCGGCGTGCGCCGGAAGAAGCGTATATAACGACCGGCACAGTTATTAATTGCGGTTACTATCGCGAAATTGCCGTTTTAAATCATGCTCGGTATGCATCGGCAAATATTTCACCGAGCAGGGATAGAGCGAGGGATAGGACAATGGCTTCTCGCAAATGCATCGATCGGTTCCGTTCGAATATTTATGCGATACCGATAATGAATCCCAGTGGTAAAATAACGAGGATAGTTTCTTAAAGTGTGTGAACAACTCTTGTGACGTCTCAAAAAATGTTTTTAAATATTATGAGGATTATTATTAAGTAAAAAATAACAATTTTATATCGAGAATTTTTAGTTAATATCCGAAAACCCAAATATTATATATATATACAGATGTATTCGTATAAATACACATGTGTATGTTTCTTACATTTTCAATTGCATAAAATAACTGTGACAAATATTAGCTGTAACAAATATATAACTATATTATTAACTATTGCACACATTTTTAGTTATTATTTATCATTATTATTATTAATGTGTATTATCATTATTTTGTATTATTGTAATAATTTTTTAATGTTTTTTAAATTAATTATTTAATTTATTTATTTTTAATTATTGGTTTATTTTTTATTTAATAACTAAGTTAATTATTTTAGTCTTTTTTTAGTTTATTTTAGTTTAGCCTATTTTTAATTAATTACGCAATTAAGTAATTACACAACAACTTAAATGCATATAAAAGCATTATACTTGTAAAAAGGAATAGGATGTTTTTAATTTAAAAAGTTTTTATTTTTAAGTTGAAATAGACAAATAATTATAACGTAGTATCTTTCTAAATTTTGATTATTTAATTGATTAATTATTTAATTATAAAATAGATATATTAAAGAAACGAATAGATAGATTAAAGCGATTTTTTATTACTTTAATAATAACATAGACAAATATAAAAGTAAACACACAAAATACAATTAACTAATTAACTAATGAGAATATTACGGTATACGCGTTACAATTAATTAATAACGAATTAGAATATTGTGGTATATGCGATTTACTTTCTTATGATATATATTATTCAATAAACTTCAAAATTTAGAAAAAGAAATATCTTTGCCGACGTATAAAAATATAATATAATATATTACCGCATATATCAATCGCGACAAAATGACAGCAATCATTAATATTTTTAAGTAATCAGTTTTACATGCCTTCTTAAAAATTGGATTAATTAAATTAAAAATAAATAAATTGTCCATCTTAAATAGCTGTGATAAATATTAACAATTAATAAAATTAACAAAATTAATAATTTTCAAATATTATTATAATGAAGATATTCCTCCAAAACAGTTCTCCAAAAAAATATATTCGAAAATGACAAGTAAAAAATAAGAATAGTTTCTAAAAATACAATTAAAAATTTAGTACAATAATTAGTTTAAAAATATAAAATTAGCTTTATTGAAGTTATCGTCTAGTCGAATATTCAAATAGGTGTTTATAAATTCTCATAAGTAACTTAAGCTTCACCCAATTTGTAAATTTTCTTCTATGCTTTCGCCATTTTGCTCGCAAATTTTACTATAAAAGCTAAATAATGTAGAATCTTTTCATATATTACAATTTCAGATAATTAATCAAAAATAGTAAAAAAATAATAAAATAATAAAAAAGGAATTCAAAGTTGTGTGTATGCAACAAATAGAAGTTTAAAAAATAAGAAATTATAAAACTACGGTTCAAAAACAGGATGCGACTTGTCAAGTTTTTATGCAAGTTAAAATTTGCGTAAGACTTTCTTTAAGCTATATATTGTATAAAATGTACTTTAGGAACTAAAGACATTTCAATTCATTTAGAATCGATTATAAATTGGTAACGCATAATCAACTATTTGGCCAGTTGCATTAATGTCATATCTATTTTTAATTAGTTAACCTTTCAACAGCATTTAACGATTTGTTACTCTTTTAATTTTTATTTATTGCATATGTCGATATGAATATTTTTTATGTACTTAGCGCATGTTTTTTATCTTTTTTAAAAAAGTGTTCCTAAACTAAAATTTTATATATTCTTGTCGTCGCAAAAAATAGTTTTAATTACATAATTATTGTAATATTGTATATATATATATATATAAATTTTGCAATTCGAATAACTTCTAACGAGCTTATGTCATATATTAAGAAATTTGTTCATCTTAATAGTGACCATATCAAAATATATATCAATATCCTATTTAAATTATATTCTATTCTATTTAAAATATAATCAAGTAAACGGACAATTTTGATACTGATTCGATCAATTTCCAAACAATCGGTTTTATATTCTAAATTTTCTATTGGAATCTTATCAGAGAGAAATTAATATAATTGGTAGTAATAAATATTATACACTTTTAATCTTGTTAACCGCGCTTTTTCAGTCTGTATACATATATTTGCTCGTAACAGGAACTTGAATTCAAAATAGATATAATATTTTTAGAGTACATTTTACAAATAAGAATGCAATATTTTAGATTTACAAATATGTACATATTCAAAATTATTTTGTTCGATTGCATTTTACCAATGTTGATAACAAGACTGGCTACCAGACGGCTCGTTTTTGCGAATCAACGATACAGACAAGATTTTGCTTGTTGTTGCAGCTTACAATCTGGAGTGTGTCCAAACGGCTGGATCCCGACCAGACTGGATATCTATTGTCTTTAGTATCCCAGACCAGCAAGCGATAACATCTGTGGCTGGCCTCTTATTACGACACCTCGAACGCGCCCGATTATTTGCCCACTCGGTCGTTCATCCCCAAGAAATCGATTATCATCGCGTATAAATCTTATCTTATCTATATACTCGTAAGTTTTAAGTTTCAGTAAAGAGCTTGTTGTCCGACTTTATAATGACTAGTATCACGGAATCAGAGTATCATGTAAAATTACGAAAATAATGTTTTTTTCAGAACCTGTCAAGTATTATTGATTTTTGTTTTCTAGAAAATCACCGAAATATCGTTTTGAGAGACACATTTCATGTATGTACAATAAGCCAATATGTTAGAAAAAGCTGTCATCGGCACAATTCTATATGAATGAGCCATGAATTAAATGGTGGACGATTATTTGCAAAGCGCACATAGTACGTTCTAGTGACATTGAATGATCGCCAAAGTCGATCTTTATTCTCTCTCTTCTCTCTCTATTATAACTTCTACCATGATCGTTAGCGCCTAACGGCGACCGTACTGAAAGCTAATGGCCGACTATCATTTTTCCGCTATTATCTACCGGCGAACTGTTAATATTCTAGTCAAGTGCTTTTATAATGAGAGCGTAAGACCCTACGCACAATGGAGAAAATATTAGGAATAAGAATAAAAAATTAAATATTAAAAAGAGCAATTTGGAATTATTTTACTTCAAATAAGGGAACGGAATAGATTAACGCATAATGAATTAAAAATTAAAAATGATTAATCCATCCCGTTCCCCTATTTGAAGTAAAATAATTCCAAATTGCTCTTCTTAATATTCAATATTTATTCCTATTTCTAATATTTTCTCTATTGTGCGTAAGATTAAACATGTGGGATAGCTTCGTTCTGTAAATTGAAATAATTATTCGACTCTCAAATACACATAGGGGACTCTTGTTTATATCATACTGGTCTCCTAAATCGTATCTCATCCATTACTTTATAATTAATGAATTTAAATGACATTTAATTTATTATTATAATTAATTAATTATAAAAATGTAAAATAAGTGAGCAATAAAAAATATAAATAAAAAGTTTCCAGATTATATTCTATTTTGTGCATGCAAACATTTAAAAAAGTCCTTAATTGTAAGAATGGGGCTTTAAATTCAGAATTGTATAAATTCCATTTAAAAGTAATTAAAAAATGTAAATAAAAGAACGTTCAAATGTAAATGAAAATGGAAATGTAAAAAACACTCGTGTAATTTTAAATATATATACGAGTATTTATATTTATATAAATATATATTATACATATTATATAATATATTTAGCCGTTAAGGACGACTTTTAAATCGGCCATACATCCACTTCATTGCTTTATCCGCGACAATAAAGCACAGTGATTCCAATGTGCACTCAGAGCGCACGGGACCTTTCATTTTCGCCAAAACCGCTGCGAGCGGTGACACCTTTTCCACGGTACTTCTGCTAAATTACTTGCAGCTGATTAAATCCGATCCAGTAATGTAACATCAAAGAATATCGGAGGATGCTTTAGATGGTTGCTGATGGACGGTTAAATTAAATAGGAACGCAGTGCAGTTCCATGTGCATACCCGTAAGTACGCAGAGACCCTGCACAAGTATACACAGATACACGCGCACGTACGCACATGCGAATGTCAACTCCATATTTCGTTTCAAGAATAGTCGACCATGGTTTTAATAACGTTTCAACGAGAATATCAAAATAACGAAAAGCTTACATATAAGTTTAGAAAAGTAATTTTTATTTTCATTATATTATTTATATATAATATTTTTATAATTTGCGTGTTATTACACTTACGTTGATCCACAAATGATCAGTTTTTAGGATTCAAATATAAGCAGCAACAGTAATAAAAGTATATTATATTCATATCTTTTTTATTAATTCGTATCGTGCTTAAGCTGATAACAAATAATAACGCATATAGTGAAAGAAAAGAAAGTAATGAGGTATTATTCGGTCACGCAACCTCCTAAGTGTCGAAAGTACCATAAATTAAAATAAAATGGAACATTATATATGTATCACTCTATAAGTCATATGTCTTTTATATATATAATATATATACAATATATATGTATATATAATATTTCTTAATTTGCATGTATTTTTCATCAAATTATAATGAAATAATATATACAGAGTATAAAGTAGGATTCACTCAAAGAAAATTATGATGACACTACTTATATAATAGATGCCACTGGGATTATTTTACATGGCAAGAGAAGGATTTATATGTTGCCGAGATATCATACGAGGTTGTGTAAGCTGGACAAACAGCTTCTCTCAGTCTATCGCCTTAAGTCGTCGCGTGTAAACATCTAACGTACAACATCCGCGTATGACACCTCGTTAAGTGTCGTAAAATATGTATCGCGAGCGAGCGATATGAGTGAATAAAATCACAGTAGATCTTAATCCGTATTGTTAATGTTCCATTTAAAAAATTTTTGATTAATTATTTTATTCTAAAAATTAATACTTATTAGTATTTATTATGTCATAATTATAGCTTAAAATAGATTAAAATCCATCGGCTTTAATCATAAATTTCTGTGTTGAAATTCAATTAAAGCGGAAAAAAATTTTGTGCAAAAAATTTAGCGCAGCAACCAAATTGCGCGGTGGGATACTAACTTTATTTAATTTAATCCCAAAATTTTTTTTTTCTGTCTGTATAGTGTCTATTACCCGTTGATGTTTTATAAATATTTAAAAAGCCAAAATTCGCAGAGATATAACTCATCGCAAAATACTTGCGCAACGATTTATTTCGACATTTTGCAACTAATTCTGTATTCTATAATTTTCGTAACAGAGTGAAAATAATTTTTCAACAAGTTTTTAGAGATATAAAGCAGAAATATTTACTCGTAAAAGTAAATTATTTAAACAATATTCAAGTTCTTCTCTGTCATCCATAATAAAATAATATTTAATCCACTCTATAGACATAGTATCTTTCCTTTCGTTTCACTCGACTCTTGCTTCAAGACAAACGTTTCTGTACTCACCGTCACCGTTAAGCTTTACTTTTCTGCGCGCAGTCCAATATCTCGGAAATTTCGTTCTCCTCGCCGTTCCGATCAGTTAACTGCATCCAATCTGTACGGAAACAAAGAACGAAGATAAAAAAACCGCGCTTTGTCCTCTGTAATTCTCTTCGGTAATTAATTCGGCCATTAATCTGCCGGTAAGTTAAGTAAGGGAGGTAAGTTAAACGGCACATGGGCAATGATTAATCACGGCGGCGCGGATCAACATTTATTTTCTGAGATTTTCAATTTTACTGTGGCACACTTTCGCGTGTGTGTGCGTGTTACGAATATATTATTTACTAACGTATATATATATATAAAATAAATAACTATATATTTAAACAAGGAAGAATATGCGTTATGCATTACATACTCCGTTTTTTCGAGGGAACGTAGTCGCATGTTTTTGATGTCACGCATTTGCTGCCAAATATTCTGGATTTGTCACGTACTGTCCTAGAAAAATTTGCATTCTGTGTTTCGCGCCATCTAATCGTCACCTTCGGGAAATTACATCGAGTTTTCTAGCTACAAATCGGCCATAATTTATACCGGCGCGAAGATTGCATGACATTTCACACACTCTTTATAATCACACTATGAAATGTCAGATGAACCATTTTGCCGATTTACAAAAACAACTCTACAATTTTATTATACACTCTATCTATCTATCTATCTATCTATCTATCTATCTATCTATCTATCTCCATTTCTATCAGTTTTTCAGAGAATCTGTTTCTTTTTATATAAAATCTAAGAAGTCAACATTTAATGCTATTTTTGAAGCTTTTTTTCTGTTTGTTTCAAATAATTTCTTAAATTAGTCACAGTTATAAATTTCTTTCTCTTATAATATTTTAAAATCATAATGCGTTCTTTTCTTAGATTGTTTTACATTTAATAATAAAAATCTTTAAAAAACGATTCATTTTAAATAAAGTGCACTGAAGATAGGAGAAAAGTGAATTTCGGATTGAAGAAGTTCCTTGACATTTCAAGTGCTTGCGTCTTGAAACCCCGAAAGCAAAGATAGCAGAAAAGTAAAAAAAAAACCGCGGAGATCCGGCGCGTTGATCAAAAGCATCAGAACGTCATCATCGAAAAAAATGGGTGAGCAACCGTTTCTACTCGCTTCGATAATAAAATAAATCTAAGAGGATCGAGCTAATTTTACAAACAGAAAAATACAACGGGATAATAAACTGATCTTTAAAATTGACTCACGCATCTAGAGATATATGAAACAAAAATAGATGTGCAACATATACACACATATGCATACATTTAGGGGTACTTCCTATATTAAATATATACCCGCAAAGCAATGTAAAAATTTGCGAGACATTAAAACTATCTTGAATATTTTTAAATATATTGTAAATTACAAAAATATTCATATCCAAATTATTGTTTGACTTTAATAAAGATAAAAAAAGACTTAAACTTTATTTCTATATCTAATATGAATATCTTATTTGGAATATACATATATTTTTTAAAAACCAATTTTTTTATTTGATAATATTTAGATATACCTTTAGTTTTATTCATAATATCTTTATCGTATATTCCCACAATCTCATTCTCGAATTTGATTCTAGTTGTTAAGTATATATCATCTCATTCAAAGTTTTTTGTTCCGTCACTCAAAGGATTTAAGAAAGTTGATGCGGACCATCTCGTCATTTCTTCATAGGCGACATACCTGATTAGCTTTAACTTTCTTTCAAACTTCCACAAAGAATCTATTGAACAATTACATTTGTGGAATCGAACGATGATATCGCTCGCGAATCCTCGATTCTTATCCCGTTCGGAAATTCCTTCCGTCGTGGGCGCATGGGAGGGCGGAGGGGCGAGAATAATTCGTTTAAGTTACCAGAGCAATAAAAGATGTGGGCAGATAGGAGAGTGAAAAGAAGCGGTTTTTATTTTAGCAAAGGCAAGTCGGATGCGACGGAGGCGCATCGAACTTCCGCTCGTCAGCCCTCGCGGACTCTGTTCAAACATTACCGGCGTTCTGCAAGAGTTCGCTAGTTGCAAAGTGGATGATTCAGCCCATCGAACCGTGAATCTCCTCCCCCATGCGAATCTGCGAGAAAAAGGAGGCGAGATTCTTTTGCGATTTTTTTTTTTATCCGCGTGAAAGGAAGCCGCGCTTTCGCGCGATTTATAAGAATACCCGCAACGTGTTTGCGGCGAAGAGTTTGTCTATCTACCCTCATTCTTCTTCTCTACAATGTGTTTCTTATTTCTAAAGCCAACGAATTACGCTTTACACAAAATAGAAAATAAAATGGTATATCGGTAACTATTAGTTTCCGATAGAGTTGGGTGCTATTGATAAATCGTGCTTTAGAGGCATTACGTTTTCTAGGGCAATATATTAGAAAGGAGGACAAGAATCTAAATGGAATCGGCAACACGAGTCGGGATTAAATAGCGTGAATTAAACGAAAAAAAATTCTCGCCGTAACATGCGCAGTTTTGTTCGCGTAATTAACGCGCCGCGTTAATAGAAGCTCGACAATTCCAACAGCTGCACTAAAAACGCGGACACGCTCGTCGACGTCGATGCCACAATCGTCGCCATCGTCATCGTCAACATTTTGTGTGTATTTCAATACAAGAATAATTTAACGGCATAAATAATTAATGCATAGTATAAAACTTATTTAATTTAAAACTCTACTAAACATACTTGTCTAACTCAAAACTACTCGTTTCATTAAACGCAACAATGAAACAATTAATTTTTCAAGGACTGTATAGTAATTATAAACTCAATAGACAGTATTAAAGGCATGATATATACATATACAATAAAATAATTTTGTCTGTAATTAAGCCAAAAAAATTTATAGAAATTTGTATAAATTTATATAAAGAAAACAACTCAAAATAAAAGTTGTCAATAATAAAATCAATATTTACCTCTCAATGGTTTCACGATTTTGTATTAATTAAAATGCAAATTTCATTATTAAAACACACACACACACACACACATATATATAAAGTTTTACACATTTATTTCAGCATAAAAAAACAAATTTAATTTTTTTATATGTTCTTTATAGTGTCAAATTATATTAT